TCAGCTTAAAATATGATATTATAAATAAATTTAAAAAATACAATAAAAAGGTCCAGATCTCAGAACAAGCCTCAAACCAGCCAGTATCTATTTGAGAACTTATGTTAAAATAGATTATAATGCATCTTCCCTTCTTATTTTCATCCCTCTTTCCTTTTTTTTCATGTATCATGTACCCTCTCTCCTCTTGGTCTTGCTGTTTTCTTCATTCATCTCTATGCACTTCCTTTCTTCTCGCACTCTGTACCCTACCCTTCTCTCCTAACCGTTTACCCATCTTTCTTCACACAAAGGGCTTTGAACTTTTACCAGGCTGCTGATAATTCCCCAACGACTAAAGCCGTTAATCAAAAATGAATACAAAAGATTTGAGTGGGGCATTTCCCACAATGGAAGTCAGTCCTCCTGTTAACCTCACACAAGCAGCTGGAAAAGACAATGCTGGATTTTTTCCAGGACACTGTTCTTGTACCCTGTTTGGGACTTCATCTTTCAATTCATTAGTTGAGTAATGGGTGGCTAGAAAATATCATATATTTTCTGCTTAGGAGAAGGAAAGTTATTTTTCTGTTCTTTTACTCACCCTGCTGTCTTTGGGCAGTGAAGATTGTCTATTGTGCCATTCAGCCTGAGTTGTACTTGAGCTGTTTAGCGGGAGCACTGGCAATAACTGTACTGTTCCTCTTTCTCTTCATGAATTATTTAAATAATGTTTTAAAGACAACTGCTTCAGTTTGTGTGTAGTAGCTCAGCCTATAGTTTGACCAAGCAGACGTGATCAAATGATCCTGATTTTTGTCAGCTGCCTCATCCCTGCAGGCAGCTTCCAGAAATGGAAGAGGCTCTGGCTGGTTCCAGCTAACTGTGCTCTGGCTGCACACTCAGCATCACCAACCCCACTAGACCGATCTGCCTCCTGCGCTTGGACCACAGCACAGTGTCAGACCACACTTGGTTCTTATTTAGAAGAATCATTTTCTGTCAGCATGGGAACTGATAGCTGCAGGAGTAGTGACTGCTTCTCTGGCAAATCTTCCCGCTTTCTGCAGGAATGTTTATGGGTGGCAAGAAGACCGAACTTTCTAGTTCCCCTTTCTTCATGCTGTCCCTCTGCTTGTGTCCCATCTAGTGACTGAAATGGAAGCAGTTGAGCAGATCTGATTCGGGTAGTCGCCAGCAAACTCGTAATTCCAATTCTGAAGAGGTTCTCTTCTGGTTTTGTAGGCGAGCTGAGCATTCAGGTTTTCTCTGTTATACAAAGCTGAGAGTCCTGACTGCTCTAGAGTTTTCTTGTTAACAGTTCTCTGGAAAGTGGTGTTTCTGTAGTGCGGCAACTGATTTGTGGTTTTTGGGTTTGTTTTTTTTTTTTTGAGCAGTTGTCAATGCACAGAAGATGATAGATGCCATGGTGAGGAAAGGAATTTGGATTTCTTCTTGTCCCATATAACTGACATAACTTTTCCAATGAAACTGGACATGTATGTGTTTGTGGCATCTGTGTAATTATTTAATAGCCCTGAAGTTGTGGGTTGATGCGTGTAGGTGATACAAACACCAGTTTGTCAGGCTGCTACCATTTGCTGGGAGGTTCAGTTCCACTGTGCTTGGTAGGATCTGAGTCATCTTCTCTTTCAGCCATTAACCAGGGCTTGAATGGACACTGAGAATGTGTTCAGTGCAATGACTGCTTCTGCTCTCTTCCGTGTTGTCCTGATGGGTATCAAATTATTTGTCCCAGTTATTTAGCGTCTGTCCCTTTTTAAGGCTGTGGTTGAATGGCAGGAGTAAATAGAGCATATTTGATCCTCTGTGATGGAGGTTGCAGTCAGTGCAAACCATTCTTCTGCCATTGTCCTTCTTAACAAAATACACCGAAACAAACATAGTCTTCACGACTACTTTGGTGTGTTTTAATTTCAGCATTATTTAGTCACTGCCCATATGCGATACGAGTGTTGGTGGATGGAGTGGAAAGGAAGGAGAAAGATATTTAAAACAGATAAAAGCTTCCTCCCCTGATGTGCGTTCCTTATTCTGACCAAGAAGTGTATGACTTAACTATGCTACTGCATTTTAGCATTTTATTTTCCTTAAGGCACAGTTAGTAATTCAGTTTGAATTTCTAGTATTATTTTTAAAAGTCTTAGAAACGCAACAGGGATTGTGGGCTTTTAGTAGTGTTAATGGTAAGATACAGAGGCAAGAGACACTACTGCGATTATCAATTCAGTGTATTCATTAGCTCACAGACTCTCTTAAATAATACTCTGGTGTTTTCCATAACTGGGGGAAGAAAATGAGATTATCATTAATGTTTTTACAAGTAATTATTTTTATTTTCTTACTGTAATAAATGGTTAGGTTAAAACGGGGGGGGGGGGAGGGGGAGGGAGACACACGGCGACAGCAGGGTGGGAGGGGCAGAAAAAAACATCCTTACTAAGGTTGTCTGCTAAATTAATCTTCGTTCTGATAAAGAAAACTTAATCAGGTACACAATAACAGGATTTTCAAGTTGAGCAGTGTTTGAATTGGAGAATTAATGCTTTTCAGTTAGGCCATGAACAGTTCTTTAAATAACAGGCTTTAAAGGGTTTAAAGGGTTAGATGAAGAGAATTAAATTCATGGGGTATATGAACTGCAGCCCACGCTACATGTCCGGCGTAAAACAAGTCCACACAATGGGCAATTGTTTGCTCCAGCACTTTCAGCCTGTCTAACATACTCTGCATTTCAGTTTGTCGTTATACCCTGAATGTGTTCACTTCATACTGTGGTATTTGAAATCTGCCTTGTGGGGTTGATTAAACTTTCTGTAGTGGTGTTACGCATCCTGCTTGTTGGTTTCAGTGCTGTTTGGTGAAGATGATCTTCCGTATCCGTATGTCTGGGCATTGTTTCCACAACCAGTTCAGTGCAGCTTCCTCAGCACAAACTGCTCTCCCTTCTCCCGTTGTCCAGAACAGGGTGACTTCTGATGCTTGCGTAGCTTTATTGTTTCCTTCCCATTATTGTCAAACTCACGTTGTAATACTTGGCACTTTTACTGACTTTATAGAGTAGGATGTGATGTCGTAGAGAAGGGGACAGGGCTACCCAAATTTTCTCAATTGCAGGGAGGAGCTGCCCAGGTGTGCTGAGGGGCCTGTACTCAGGAAGAGAAACAGGGAATCCTCCACAGTGAGTAACCCCACTTTCAAGTGCACACAGTTTCCTTCATAGCCGTGTCCAGTACAGTGTAGTTTCCTCTTCTTTTCCTCGTCCTTTGCAGTTTGCCCTCTGGAATGTTCCCAGTTCAGTTATCTTCTTTCCCCTTTATTTTCGTATATTCTCATTTTACCTTGTCCTTTGTCTTCTTTCCAAAGGTTAAAGTTTCCATTTTTGTCTCTTCACACCATGAATCTTTTCTCATCCTAGTCTTAATCTTTATACGCGTTGTCTTTTTCCCAACGTGTCGTTGTGGTTCTGTCACTAACACATTGGATCATTTCTCTTCCCTTGCTGTGCAATGGCCCTTTTCCCAGCCCTGTGCAGTTCCTTCCATCCTTACTCATTGCCATACTCTTTCCTACCCACTCTTCTTTCTCCTTTCAAATTGCCTTTCGGTTTTCCTTTCCTGTCGGGTCCCTTTTGAATCTTGGCTATTGATGTATATGAGATAAGCTCAGTTCAGCTCCCAGACCTTTCTAGTGCAGCCCTTACTTCTGCATTTTCCTTTGTGGAACTGAAAGATAAAGGATACAAAGCTCGTCTGTAACAAAGAACCGAAGGATTTGGTCAACTGTGTTTTGGCTGCAAAAGGGGAGAACGGGCAGTAAATCAGAACTGTAACATGGCAGGAGAGGGCTGAGCTGGTCAAGTTGTAGTGAGCGGGGAGGCTTTGGCTTTAGGCGAGCTGCTTGAATTACAGCCCTGGCTAGCACCCTTCACAGATTGATGGCTTGCATGATAGCGGTGTGGTAGTGCCTCTAGTTCCACATAGTAGTAGCTGCTTTCACAATTGCCACAATTTGGTAACTGCGAGAGAGGAGCTCAGGATTGGATGAATTTGGGGACCAAACCGGTTTGTTATTTACCCAGGTAGATATGGAAGTTCTGGCTGGGATGTTGGCAAGATGCTCTGGGAAGCTTGATTGCCGTGGCCTGTGCTGCACCTTTTACTGCTGATTGAAAGGTTTCATTTTCCAGGGCTGTCAGTCTGGCACTTTACGTGGGCAAAAGAGTGGCTGTTTGTTTAACAGCCTAAAACTGATGGGGACAAAAAGGAAGTGGAAAACCAGAAACATCTGTACAAGATGGTTGTATCTGGAAAGAGGAGTGGGTTACTTTCGGCTCCATTGGAAAAGGCAAAGGGGTGGAAAACTGAGCTGAACTGGAAAAATAATCTGCACTCTGTCATGTAGCATCTTGTGTGCTGTGACTGTTCTGACTACTTCATTTTTCATTGTTTTTAGAAACAAAAAGCATTTTAAAATTGAAACCTATCTGTGTCAATTCTCACAGTAGCTCCTGCTCTACAAATGGAAGGTTTTAGCCAATTTTGTTCCTGAGGTCATGGCAAAACCTAAGTGTAGAATATTCAAATGACCTCAAATAGTTCTGAAGTAGTGACAATTAAAAAAAAAGAAAAAAAAAAAAGACTAGCTGTCTCTTTCTCTTTGTTTTGTTTTGTTTTGTTTTTTTCCCCTCCTGCCTGAAAGGAACTCCATTGCTGTGTCGTAAAATTAGTTGCGTATTTCAACTCTTTTTATTTGGAACCTGGTAAGAATTTTTCCCAGGCAGATGTAGCAGATGATGCACAAAAGCAGCAAGTAAATCTTATTCTTGCTGCAGTTTCCTGGATTGTATCTGGCCTTCCAACAGACAGAGGACTCCAGTCTCAACACTACTGTTCCCTGCCTTTCACAAGTGACCACATAAAAGCTGCATGATCGTATAACCTTTCAGATTCACATGACAGCTGTGTCTTGTCACTTACACATTTATTATTTCTTCTCAGGCATTGGAAAAATACCCCAACTCACCAATGACTGCAAAACAAATACTGGAAGTCATTCAGAAAGAAGGGTTAAAAGAAACAAGGTCAGTGTTTATATGTTCTGTATTTTTGTTATCTCTTTGAAAATCGTTTAGGAATGGTATATAATCTTTACGAAACATAAAGTGCTGGTTAATGGCTGAATTTATTTCCAGTACCTAAGTGGGAAACTTAGCTGATGGGGTTTGTTTGTCTGTTAGTTCAAGGCTTTTTAAATGGCTAGTGACTGGCTTAACTTTGTGCCTTTCTAAAGGAGACTGTGGGCCAGCTCCCGTCCAATGGTCTTTCTTTAGAAAGACAGTGTGATCTGCTCAGACGCCCCTGTGCTACATCTCTTCTTTTGCTTGAGGACCAAAGCTTGACAACTGGGTTGCCTCTGCCACCATGTGCACAGAGAAAGTGTGAGGTGGAGCTAGATGCACTCCTCCTCTCACTTGGGTTTGTGGTCTGGCACTTAAATCACCGTTATAGCTTGCTGGTGGTGCCGATAAAGAATTAGGAATGGAAGGGGAGGGGTGTTTGAACACTGGGAGCTAGTCTGGGGGGGCTGCAGGGGTTGGATGCTGAGTCGCTTAATAACAGCGTACTGTGGGTGTAGATATAGTCGTTAGGCTGTTGGGGGATACGTGGGTTACCCAGAGCCTGTGGAATCAACAGTTGCCTTCCAGTGATGCCTGGTTCAGAGGGGCATGCAGCTTCTTGTTCCTCCAAGGTGGCTGACTACTTGGTAGGTCTTCTGTTGACCAGATGGAAACTTGGGCAGGAAGTAAAATAAGTTAAAGAAAAACTGCCTGGTCGGTGGGGGTCTCCTACAAGATGCAGTTTCTTCTCCTCCAAATGTTATAGTAAACATTTTCTGTTCTAATAAACTGTTTTAATACTTGTGGCTGTCTGTCTCAAAGCAAAGGGAGGCATCCGCTTTTATTTTAATTATATTCTTTTAGTGTGGAACCTGAAATCTAGGGCAAGAGAACTTCAAAGCCCACGCAGAAGAGTAGTAACACACTATGTCTGTTATTTCTGAATTTATTCTGGTGAACCAGAAGTAACCATGGGACACATTTTTACTAAATTCATTGTTCCTAAGAAACACAACACTGATAATTTGCACTGCATAACTGTGCACTGCTTTGTTTGTAGCCTCATAACGTGCTTGCAATAGCTGTATTTTGGTAAAATTGCAAAAGAGCTGGTTTGCAAGACAAAGTTGTATTTGCCATCTTTTACAGATATAAAATGCTGTAGTTCCTGTCCAGAAATTGCTTCAAGTATATTTGGCAATGATGCGAAAGAAACAAGGGGATGAAAACTTTTGAAAATGAATGTCCAAACATGTGTTATGCTGCAAGGATTTGCATACAACAACAACAAAAAAGCAAGAAAACCCAACTTTGAAAATCTGTTTTATTAAGATATGGTTTCTCACCACAGTGAATAGATTGCTTTCTTCTTCTTACGTCCTGTGATATGAGACAACCGCACAGGAGAGGCTCGCGTGCCTGATAACAGCATTTCTTTGTAATTTTAAAAATTCCTGTTTCCGTGAACAGTGCATGAATAAAATTTTGTGTGCAAAACCTATGGGAGGGAATGAAGGCAGCATTTTTATGATTTAAATACAGAAAATGTGGAAGCCCTTTTTAGTTCTTGCAGAATGAATAATAAGAGAAAGAGTCCATTAAAGAGGTTTGAAGCTGGATCCTCTTTCATTTCTCCAGTTACTAAAACAGAATTGCAGGGAAATAGGAAGGAGATTCAGATTCGTTCTGATTTTTATTCACGGTACTGTATGTGCAGGTTGGTCTGACTGTGTAGTAGATTGCAGGATGCCATATGTGGTCCTGAGTGTCTAGGTAACAGAGAAGGATAAAATTCAATGCTCTTTACTCCATAGTTGAAACATTGTACTACGTTATAGGCTAGGTCATCCTAAACTGATTAGCCTAAAAATTCTAAAATCTGCAATTGTAAAAACAAAAACGATTGATTCTGTATTGATTTTTTTTTAAAAAAAGTATTTGTGTTCTCATTTAATTTCTGATTTTGTGTAAAAGTTGTGTTTCTGCTGCATTTTAATATTGATTAGGCACAAACCTGGAATGTTACCCGAGTGCCTAACTCTTAATAGGAGCCGATAAGGTATTTGACTTCATACACATATTTGTTTATGTGGCCTCGGTGCACAAGTAATATTTTGTTTTCACAGTCGTTGCATTTAGTCTCCCATTTACTTCATCCAGCTCTGCAATTTCTTTCAGTTCCTTTCTGCCAGCATGGTACCTTTGCCGTTACTGAAGATGATCTTTCCTGGTCTCTATGCTGCGCCAAGCTAAGATGAGGAATTGGTGTAAAGTTATGATGTGCAGTCACCTGGTCATAAGCAGTAGTGTGGCACTAGCATATGATAATTCTGTATTGATGTGTGTATTCTTCAAGTCTGAACTTGTACCAGCAATATGTGGCTACTGTAATATACTACTTTAATATACTTGTTCCTTTATACTGGTTATCATTTTCAGTAGAGCCTTGGCAATCCTGAAGGAAGTTCTTCAAAAATTGTACTGTTCCATTTATAGATGAACGAGATTAATTGGCTTAGTCATTTTTCAAATATATTGCAGCATTAATTAGTCTAAAGCTTTTTGCTGTGGTAGTAAATCTGAATGAATAACGTATGATTTTCAGCAAGCTAGCTCATTGTTATGTGTAATCTTTAAAAAGACGCTGTCAGACTATTCAGCCTCTTCTTTTCTTTGTTTGCAATAAAGACATCAAGTTGCACATTTATTTTTTTATTACTCAAATAACTAAATACAATAGGAGGAAAATTCCAAGGTTACAAAGTAGATGTATGTTAGAAATTAAAATAAAAACTGACTGTCGTGTCCTGTGAGAGGCTTCCTGTATCGTGGGGGATGTACAGCTCAATTTTGGTTTTTAAATATCTTTCCTGTTGTTATGGTTGGTTGTACAATGGTCAGCAGGCAGGCAGTTCTTCTGCTACCTAGAAGGAGTAAAAACTTTTAAGGCGAACCTTTTGGGGATATAGAAAATATATGGATTTCTTCTGGGGGAGGGCGGGCGGGGGGGGAGGAAGAAGTATTTATTTTACATTCCTGCCTGTGCTGATAGTGAACAGCATCAGGCCAACAGTCACGGACACCGAAATCTCTTTACAAACAAGATACCCTGCAGCTCGCTCCAGTGTACAGTGCTCTGGATTTTCCTTGCTGGCATCCACTGTCCCATTCTTTTCAAAACAATCCCCTGTGCCACTGTAAATTTCTAGACTTGCCACCTACTGGTTGTGCACCCTAGCACGAGATGGTGCTGGTTTTGCCAGGGGGAGTAGACTTAGACATAGACTGCTCGTCACAGTATGATCCACGCTAGCCGCAGCGCCCCTTTTCCACGGTGCTGCTGCCTCCCTCGTTGTTCTCCATCTTGTGTTGCCGCTGGTACTTCTTGCTGTTGAGGTCTAGAATTCCCCTTGCTGAATCGTATTCAGGTCTTCTGCAGACCCTTTCTCAAATTTATTAAGGTGGCTTTAACACGTACTCGTGGCTGTCAGCGTGCGTGCAGCCCTTCCAAGTTTAGTGTCATCTGCTTATTAGGACTTGTTTCCTTTTGCAGCATCGCTTTTCTCTTCTTTGCTCACGAAAGTCCCATGAGAAACAATGTCCAAAGGCTCATTAAGTTGGGCTACACGATACCTACTGCTACTTCTCTAACTACAGGGTGTGCCACTACGTCATAAAAAATATTTTGATAGATTTAAAGTAACTTGTTCTTGACAGGTCAATGTATTACTCAACTCCTTACATGCTAAATACTTCCAAATAATTTTGGGGGTGTTGAAGTTCAGTTGCTGCATCTCTACTTCCTTGGCCCTGCCTTTTTTCATTTTTTTTTTTTTTTTTTAAAGCTAGTCGCTAGATGTTTTCCAGTCTTTTGGAATCACTGCTATCCTCTACAAATTCTCGGAAATGACTGCTGATAATTCTCAGACTGGTCCAGTCAGCTCTAAATACCTTATGGTGAGCTTCAACAGATTTAACTGAGTTGAGAACGTCTAATTTATTTAATTGCCATCTAATAATTTTTTTTCCATGTTTGTTCCTGGTGTTGGTTTTAGTGGCTGTCTAAACATAGACACCTTTCTAGTTAGGTATCAACAAAGAAAAGGCACTAGCACTCCTTTGGGTTTGGTGTGAGTGCTCAGTGCCACCCCTTGATGGAGGAGCAAGCCAGTGTCCTGTTGATGTGCTTACAGAAATGTCTTTGTGCATGGTGGTGGGTGAATTTGCTGAAGTTTAATTTCCTGAAGCCCATTTTCGACTTTTCGTGTTCTCCCTTGTTTTCCTAAAACTGAAGGATCGTCCCTTCACGAACACCCAATGTTTTCCACTGCTTCTTCCTCACTGGTTCAAGTCAGACCTAGTACTGCCTGCCTTCCTAAGTGCTTTTTACATCTTCTGTTCAAGGATTTTTGTTCCTAACACAGTCCCAGGAAGTTGCCAAATCTTTCTCTGTCCTTGCATCTTTCTTTTCCCGAGAGGTGCCTGCATGGTTGTAATGGGGACATTTAAATGGGTTGTGTGTTTTAAAAAATTTTGCTGATTCTCACAGAAAAAGCTTCTCTCTCTAACTGTCCTGGTTTTTTGCTGTATTAAACTCTGACCCTAGTACCATCCTTGGGTTTGCCCTCTTTTGTCGTTACTCGGAAATTGCCTATAGGACCACCAGGAATAACCTGTCTGTTCCCTTCTGTTTGGGGCACTGCATCTTCATGAAGGGTAGCAGCAAGTGAAGACTGCTTAAAATTATCAGGGAGATAAAAATAACGACAGAAGTTGGTATGAATTAGGTGTTCGGATTAAGGAGGAGATGATTGAATTTAGGACTGTAAGTCTTCCAATATATAAAAGATAGAAAGAAGTAAGGGAATAGGTTAGTCTGCATGTCTGATACGGACAGGACAAGCAATAAGGATTTTAAATTGTAGCAAAAAAAGATTCTGATCAGATAGTATGAAGATTTTTATTATTATTTTTTTTTCCTAACAGGTATAATTGATTTCTGTCGTGAGCTGTGGGGGAGATGTGAGAGATCTCTAGATCTCTCTAAAAACAATTTAGATATGTGTCTGTCAGGAATTACGTCCATTTGGTTGATCCTACCTCGAATTAGAGGAATGAACTAGCATATCCCTTGATCTATAGTTTTCTATTAATTTTTTTAGATCAGTTTGCAGTGCTTGGGCTATAGATACTGTCTGAGTCCTAGGGGAGAATATCCAGCCAGATTCTGATGAATGTTTGCTGCTAATAACCCTAGATTATGTCTCGGCTTTCTGTAGTTCCCTTTCTCCTTTGCTCGGTGAGGCTGGGAAATTGACT